GAGTGGCTGATGGATTCGAACTGCTGACCTTGTTGTGCATAACCCACTACACTACCCCGGCTTCTTTTGAGGGTTACAATTTCTCCACATTTTTCATTAGAGCCATGTCAGTAGATGGGAAGTGATATCTCATCATGATTTTGATTTGCATTTCCTTGATGATTCATGCAGATAAGCATCTTTTCAGGTGCCTGTATCTGTATAGCTTTATTTGGAGAAATGTCTATTAAGATCATTTGACAGTTTTTAAATTAGGTTAGCTGCATTTATATTATTCAGTTGGAGTGTTCTTTATAGATTCCGGATACATGCAAAGATGACGGCGTGGTGAAGGCATCCAACGTTCTTTCACTTCATGAGGGGAAAGAAACTCACCATCAGCATCAATTCAACCCAAAGCTGATTCCTGAGGGGAAGGTTAGACATTCCTCCAGCTTTCCACCTTTTTACCAATTCTGATCTCAACTGTTCCTCCCCCAGCACTCTCTACTTCACTGCAAAGGCCACACAGAAGTCATGGATAATATTTCCAATCCTGGGGTTTTCTAGGGAAGTAACATGGTAATTCAGGATCAGAAGCAGCTCAAGATACAGTTCTTAGATCAGGACAACCTCTTCTCAACTATACTTGTAGTCATGCTCCTCTCTAGCCCTCTGCTCCTTGGCTTCACAGCCCATCAGCCTCTGCCTTGCTCAGGCAAGCGTTACGAGGCTTCTTTAGCTCTTTCAGTAAGTGTCTTGAGGCACCCCACTCCACCAGCAAGCTTCTTGCCCAAAAGTGCTTAGCTTTCGTGCTCCACGGGCCAGGAAGCTCATTGCTGTCTCCTGGGTTCTGCTGCCTCTGGTCCTGCCATTTCTCTGGCATGCTTCTTGTCGTTTCTTGCTCTCTCCGATGCTCCAGCTCTCTCTGTCTTCCCACTCTAGGAGGTTCTCAGTGCAGGGATGCTTTCTCCATAGGATGCACTGCACTCCTCGACCTTTCTTGGTGGTTGTAAGGACCCTGTTTCTGCGTCTGAAATGGCTCATCTTAAGCCATTAAAGGGCTACCAAAACTGACCAGCTCCCTCGTTAGGATTTCATACACCTTATTTGCATAGTGCCAACCCACATGGTGTACATTATATTCAAGTGATCCAATCATCTCAGTGAGTCACAAGCACCTCCTTTGCATAGCCCCACCCAGTAACACCCAGATGGGAGTTACAAAGGAGATCTGGTAGTGTAGTGGTCATGAATCGGGCTGCAAACCTTAAGGTCAGCAGTTGGAAACTAGCAGCTGTTTTGCGGGAGAAAGATGAGGCTTTCTACTCCCGTAAAGATTTATA